TAGAAGACCACAGGAAAGGGGGCTTCAAAAAAGGGGGGAGAGGAAAACAAGAGTGTCCTGACAGCAAGAATCTGTTTTTGGTTGTTTTTTTTAACAGAAATGGACACAGAGTTACTAAATGAAGCTGTTCACTGTATTATTTCCACTACATTTCCTCTGAAATGGAACTCTCTGCTCCTCTGAGAACCGAGAACTTCTGTGATTAGCAGCGAGTATTCTCAAGAGTTGAAGAGACAATAAATTCCCCAAGAGGCAAGCATGCAGACCTCTGTCCTCAGCCTGGGGCCTCTTGGCACTTCCTCCAGCCTCGCCAGGGTCTGTCTAGGCCAACCAGCCAGGGGCTTCCCCTAGCTTCCTGGCATGCCAGCTCCAGAGAAGAAAGAACTCACCAAGCCAGCCCTGTTTCCGTAGGGATGTCCTGGTCCCACCCATTGGGTAAACTCATTCTCCTTCTCCTCTCTCACTGCCTCTGCAGCACAGGCATGTTCCTTGGTAGTCACAGAAGGCTAGAGGCAGCCAGGCAGCTTGGAGGCAGAGAAATCAGAGTTCAAATCCAGCCTAGGGCACTCATCATCTGTGTGACCCTGGGCAGTTTACTTAACATCCCTCAGCTCCTATTATCCCCTAAAATGGGGATAATAACGGCATCTTCCTTCCAGGCTTGTTATGAGAATAAAATGAGGTAATATTTGTAAAGTGCTCTGCAAACCTGAAAGTGTTGCTAGTTATTATTTCGGACTCTCACACTCTGCACTGAAAAGGTCCTTGGCATCTTGGGGACAGGGCTTTTATTCACAGTATAGTTCCATGGCACATGCAATTTTTAGTGTCTGCTGGGCTTATTGCCCATGGACTACTTCATGGCGCTTAGTATAGAAGGAATATCCTTTCCCCTGAGGGAAAGGCCAGGAACTATTCTATTCACTGCTCATCAAACCACCTCCAGCACAAAACCAATTAGCAGGCACAGATCTGACAAACATGCTCAGGACCTGCTGGAAGACTTTGCACAAATGCTATGTACATCTTTCCCTGCTGAAGTCCTCTCTCTTCCCTCAAGACTGGAGCTCAGGTGGCACTAATTCCAAGGATCTTTTCAGCTAGAAATGGTCCCTTCCCTCTCAAATCTTTCCAGTTCCCTATTTGACCTCTTCTATTTAGGTATTACCTCTTAATTTGTACTACATATGTCTTATTCTGTTACTAAATTGTAAACTCCTTGAAGGAAGGCACTTTATCATTTTCAGATGATTGAGCTAAGAGAGATAACGGCTTAGCAACAACAGTTTCCCCACCTCCAGTCTGTCTCCCCTCCAATCCATCCTGCATTCAGCTGCCACAGTGATTTTCCTAAAGTGTACATAGGACCATTTCACACCTTACACACCCCTTTCAATAAATCCTCTTGGGTCAAATAGAAACTCCCCTGTTGGACATTTAAAGCTCTTTACCCGGCCCCAGCCTATCTCTTCAGTCCTCTTTCTCATTATTTCTCTCAAAGAACTTCCTAAATCTAGCCATCCTGGCTTCCTTGCTGGTCCTCAAGCTTGATGCGCCATCTCCTGTTTCCGTATCATAGTCCTGGCTGTTCTCCAGGCCTGGAAGGCCTCCCCTCTCCATACTGGCCTCTTCCAAGATGCACTTCAAGTAGAACGTGAGCTCTTTTGGGACAGGGAATGTTTGTTTGTCTTTGCATCCCTAACACTTAACATAGCGCTTGGCAAATTGTGAACGGTAAATAAATGTTTGCTTATTGATTGTATAAAGATACAAAAAAGACCAAAACAAGCTAGAATGAGTTCCCAGCCCAGTGAGCCATCTAGTTGATGTATACACACACACACACACACACACACACACATTATATAACATAATATATAATACATAATATATAATATAATAATACATACCCTAATACAGTTATTAGGTTATAATCTAATACCAAGAAAGAATTTTATAGGAGAAGCATCAAACGATGCATGACCAGAAAAAAAGGCAGGTCAGTCATGTAGTAACAAATGTCATGAAGGGACAAATCAAATAAGGTACATTTGTTCCCCTCCTTCAGCCATTAGAATGTAAGTTCATTGTAAGAGGGGATCATTTCAGTCTTCGTATTTCTATTGCTAGTGCCTAGCACCCAGCAGACTTGTTGATGGCTTTTGAAGATCCAAAAAGATTTTGATAGGCTAAAATGGTGGGACAAATCTAATAGGACATATTTATCAATCAATTAATTCAATCAACAAGCATTTATTAAGCATCTGCTGCTATGTGAAAGGTATTATAGTAATCATTGAGGACACATAGACAAAAGTCTCTCGGACCTAATATTCAAACAAGGCAAACAGCATGTACGTTAACAGGTATCTGTTTTTATGTGCGTAGACATAATACACATTGTATGTAATACACATACATATAATACATATCGTATGTACGTATATGTGTGTATATGTATATGTGTATATATGTGTGTATAAATGAACCATGGGCTCAACATGCAATGACAGAGAGACATGGAAGCCAAGAGCCCTGCCACTGTTTTCAGGTGGCACCACAGAGGCCCACTGCGTGATGCCAGAATACATCTGAAGCAAGCAGGCTGTTCTGTTTTAGATGTACCATTTTAGAAAGGCCTCTTGACAAGCTAGAAACTTTTCTGACAAGAAGGATATGGCTTGATCTGCTTGGCCCCAGGGGACCACACTCGGAGAACCAGATAGACATTACAGAGAGGCAGATTTTGGCTCCCTATAAAGAATACCTTTCTAACAAGTAGACTGGGCTGCCTTGAAAGTAGTAAGACCTCCATCCCTGCAGGTCTCTAAGCAGAGGCCACATGAGTATCTGTTGGGGGTATAGCAAAGGGGATCTCTTGGTTGGATGGGCTTGGATTTAGTGAGCCCTAAAGTCCTTCACAACTCTAACATTTTGTGACTCTTTTTTCATCTCTGAAACAGTATCCCTAGCACAGGGCACTACACACAGAAGGAAGTGGACAAATTTTGAATTGAACTGATGCTAGAACAAGTGCCTAAGGGACCACAAAACTGCTTGAGACCAAAAGCTGGCAATCTTACTATCCACAGAGCCCACAATACAACTCAATTATTTTTTCTTTGGTAGACAAAAATCACAGGAAGTACATTCTTAGTTAGACACAATGCTTAAGTGGACTTTTGGGGAGAGATAAATGAGGACTGGGCAGTCAGGAAAGGCTTGGGAGATGGCTTAGGCTAGGCCTTGACAGACAGTTAGAATTCATATTGGCAAAGAAGAGGGAAGGGCATTTCCTGGAGGGGGAACAATACCAGCAAAAGTGCGGAGACAGTAATGTTCGAATTAGAGAGCCCTTTGTCAAGACGAGGATTTGGCTAGATCTTGTAGAGCTGGGAGACTGAATTTGATCCTGGGTAGACAAGCAATGGATAACACAATTAAAGGAGTATTTTAGGAATTTTAGGACCTTTTAGGACCAAGGTGGGACAAAATTCCTTACCTAGTTCTAGAAAACTTTGGGGAAAATTAATATTTACTAGAATTGAGCACTTACTTTGTGCCTCAACTTGGGCATAAAGAGAGAAACAGGAAACTGGCGAACAGGGCAGAAAGAGCCCAAGAATATGTGTGTGTGCGTGCGTGCATGCGTGCGTGCATGCATGTGTGTGTGTTTAGGAAGGTGGTTATGGCATCACTGTCCATTAAAAAAAGAAGAGCAAAAGAGAAAAAAAGCAAGAAGAACAAAATATCCAGGATATTTAAGGAAGAAAGCAGAGTTTACATCTCAGGCTGAAGAGCAGAAAAAATAGAGAGACAAAGACATGATACTTAGGATTTCTAGCCCTAGTATGAGTAGGTAGTGGTATTTCTAGCCCTAGTATGGTATGAGCGGCATCTACACTATCAATGTAGTTTAGTAGTTTGTTTTTTGTTTTTTTTTTTTTTACCTTTCAAGGGTGAAATTTACTGATTTTGTGCCTTCGTCCTGAGCTTTGGCTGGAATCAAGGTCAACACTCCACTCTGGTCACTTCCCTAAATGTTCCCCGTGGCATTTAGGTCCAGTAAGTAAGATCCCTAACACATTTCAACTCTTAATACTTTTCTCCAAGTCATGTTGTCATTGTCCCCAATTACAACTATTCCGAGGATTACAGTTAGTGGTGAAAGGGATTTCCAAGCTCTTTTGACTCCAAATCCAGAGCTCTTCCCACTAGACTAGAAGGTCAAGATTTCTAAAAGCAGTAGGGTCCATCCCCATATGTCCAAGTATGTTTAGGCTCTCGAAGAGGAAAGCACAGAGCCCTCGGGCAAGCCTGATGCTGAGAAAACCTCACTTAGAGACCTGTCCCCTCTCAATGTGACCAAAAATCCAAGGTCATCTGCATACCAGACCCTTTTCTAGGTAAGATGTGTGTACGACAGACAAAAAATGAGATGCAAAAGGGACCATGCTTTCTAAGAAAATTCATTTCATACCCCACTTGCTGTATGAAATTACTTTTCAATTGCCACAGAAACATGACCAGAACACTTGCAGGATTTTTATCTGCAAGACAGATTAGTGTGTAGCTCTAAAAAACAAAACTAAGACTAGACAGCAAAAGCCACAGAGATGTAGACTCAGTATTTTCCTAAACTTCCTAACAATGAGAGTTATCCAACAATGGAATGGAATTGTCTGTCCCTGGAAACATTCAAACTTTTCAGGGAGTATTCCCGGACAACACAGAGGACTGGTTGGACTAAATGACTTTAGAAATCTCTTCTGGTTCTAAAGCTCAGGGATCCCCTTGTTGCCTAGAGAAGGACTTTTAAGGTCCTGGGAATAATCAATACATTAATGAGAATTTACTGAGCACCTACCATATAGTAAGGAAAAATAATAAATTCCCTCCAAGAAGCAAAATTAAACAAGTCTGCTTTAAAAAGGCGATGCCTTCTAAAAATAACAACTCCCTCCCACCCAACTCCTTAAGTTCTGGTAGCTGAAGACTACCTGTGCTCCATATAGCAGCTCAGGGGCTCCACGCATGTAGTGATTGTACCAATTTCAAAAGTAGACTTCACATCTGAGTCAGGGTGAGTCTGGAGTGCCTGGACAACATCAATAACATCTGTGTAGCTGTAAGAGACAAGAGAAATGGGTAAATAATGGTAAAATTTGGGGCAGTTAGGTGGCACAGTGGATAGAGCCTTGGAGTCGGGAGGACCTGAGTTCAAATCTGACCTCAGACACTTGGCACTTACTAGCTGTGTGACCCTGGGCAAGTCACTTAACCCTGATTGCCTCACCCCCCCCCCAAAATGGTAAAATTTGTATACCTCAATGTATAGAGAATGAGTAATAAACTATATTAACTAGAGTTTTATTGTTTAAATTTTTAAAATTCTGAACTTAACAAAAGACAAAGATGAATACTTCCATAAACAAAGTAGAGTAGAAAAGCAGAATTGTATAAGAAACCATGAATCTCTTATCACTAATAATTTGCTTTCCCTTTTAAATATATAATATTATGTATAGCTTTCAAGACTGTCCTGTTTATCTGCATTTCCTTTTGGCTCTTCTGTTCTTTTCAGTGCATTTCAAAATAATGCTCTAATGGTTCTCTTTTCTTTCTTTTCCATTGACAGCTATAGCTCACCCCTTCGACCCTCTAATTCATCACACACATTGGAAAGAAAACCCTTGTAATAAATGTGTATAGTCAAGTAAAACAAATTCTTATACTGTCTGTGACCAAATAGACCTCCTTAACATAAGGAGGGAAATGATACAGGTATCATTAGGATTCAGCACATTACTAAAATAATGGAAAAATATTCTTTGCTAAAGTAAGAAGAGATTAGGAGATACACACACACAAACACACGCCACAAATAATAAACAAAAACCTCTGAAAGAAGTTATGACATCTTAGAATTAACAGTAAGGAGAGAAATTCTAGAAATGGATATACAGCTAACCTAGACTTCAGGAAAACAGACTTCAAAGAATTCAGAGAAAATATAAGTAGGATCCCATGGTCTAAGGTTCCAAAAACAAAATCAGGTTAAGTGGATTGGGAGGCTCTCCAGAATAAAATCTTGCCCCCCAAAACAAAATGATTCTATTGAGGAAGAAAAAGGGGAACTAAAGAGACCACTTTGGATACATGGAAAAGAATAATAGGTACAAGAGATTTAAGGGAAGGCAGTAACCAAAGAAGAAAACAAAAGCCTGGCCCAGTCAGGCTGTCCAGTGCCAGGAAGCACTGGCCTGAGAAGAGGGAAGTCATCTGTGCCTCTAACAGAGATCCCTGTCTAAAGGACCCAACCAGTAACCGTCGAGCTTTTGTTTAAAGACTTATGACAGAAGAGAACCCACTCCTCCCAAAGGTGGCCTCTTTTACTTTGGGGCAGCTCTCACTGTTGGCAAGATTTTCCTGACTTCCAAACCTATCTTTGCAACTTCCATCCATTGCTCCTTTGGGGCTAAGAAGAACAAGTCTAATATTTTTATTTACTTACTTATTTATTTATTTTGTTAGGCAATGGGGTTAAGTGACTTGCCCAGGGTCACACAGCTAGTGAATGTTATGTGTCTGAGGCCTGATTTGAACTCAGGTACTCCTGAATCTAGGGCCAGTGCTCTATCCACTGCGCTACCTAGCTGCCTCCAGCAAATCTAATCTTTCAAATACTGGAAGACACCTTCCATGTTTCCCTTCCATCTTCTATTTTCTAGGCTACAAGAAGCCTTTGTCAACTCCCCTTAATGCCAATGCCTTTCCTCTGTTTATTATCCCTAGTTTAGCCTGTATAGACCTTGTCTGTACATACTTGTATATAGCTGTTGTCTTCCCCCCTTGGACTGAGAGCTTTTTTACCTTTATTTGTACCCCTAGCACTTAACACATAACTAGTACATAGTAGGCATTTAATAAAAGTTTGTTGATTGATCTTAAGGTGCTATAGACTTGAAAGTAGTTGTAAGTCCCCTGTCTAAAGGCAAATGAATTCCACTATTAGAATCATAGAAGGCTACATAAATAAGTCACTAAAGAATTTAATCCAACCTCCTACACTGCCAGACCTCACCTCTTACTTGACCCAGAAAACAGAGGCCATCCATGACGACATACTTCTTTTCTAATCCAGACTTTAAAACTCCCTGACATCACACTACATTCTTTCCTCCTTTGTTTCACTGTCGGATGGGGACATGATCCTTCTCCTAGTCAGGGCCAACCTTTCCATTTGTCCCCTTGTCCAATCCCTGTTGGAAGATTGCATCTACAATCATCCTCATCTCCCCCTTAACTGCTATATCCAATGGCCTTTGTTCAGCCTTGATGATCAAGCCTTCATCTTGTGGGCTCTCCCCTTCTCCCCTGACTTTTGTCATGCTCTTATCGCCTCATACCTGTCTACTCATCTCTCCTCTGTCTCCTTTGCTGAATCACCATCCATGTCCTATACCTTAACAGTGAGTATTGTCCTACTTCTCTATCCTGACCCTTTTTCTTTTTTCTCTCTGTATCCTTTCTCTGGTGAACTCATCAACTACAGGTTCAATGATCATTTCTATGTAGACAACTTCCACATCGATATACCTAGCCCCAATCCCTCTCTTGGGTTCCAGTACTTTACCACCTATTGCTTGTTGCACATGGAATTGGATGGCCCCTTTAAGCATCTCAAATTTACTATGCCCAAAACATAAAACTTTATCATCCCCCTCCAAACCCTCCCTCCCCCACACTTCTCTTTTTCTACTGATAGCCCCACCCTCTTTCTAGACAAACTGGCCCCCTTGCTCCTTCCAAACTTGGCATCCCAGCTTCCCACCTTTGGATGGGTTATTCTTCTACTCCCCCACATTGAGAGTGCATGTCGTCCTTCCTACTTCCTTAGAATCCCTAGCTAAAGTCAAAGCTCAGCTGATGTGCCCCTACTTACAGGAAGCCTTTCTTGATCCTTTTCATTATTAGTGATCTATTCCTTCTCAACTATAATGCATGTACTTAACTGTTTATGTGTTATATTTACACCACTCACATACACAGAATTTAAGCTTCTTGAAGACAAGATCTATTTCTCATTTTGTTTTTATATTCTCAGCACCAAGCACATTACTGTGCACGCAACAGGAACTTATAGAGGCTTGCAAGAGGTCATGATTGTATATCGTTTTAAGGGATAAAGCGTTATTTTCACAACAACCACGTAAGGCAAATAGTACAAGTGATAAGTAAATTGGAACTTCCAGCTAAGATGGCTGCCTGAATGGAAGACAAACTACCCATTTCCCATATACTGACTTCAGCAAAACCCTGAAGTTGATATCAGACTAAACAATGATGAAGAAATCCAATAAGAAACTGTGGTGAGTTTTTCTATGCCATAACTACATAAAAAGTAAACCAGAAGCTTTAGGGTAATAGGAAAAGGGCCAGCAGCAAAGCCAATGTTAGCCTACCCTGAGTGACCAAAGACAGGTCAGATATACATGTAGCCTATAAGGCTTGATGCCCAGAGGCAGCAAGAGTGGAGGGGCTCCCAGAGAAAGTCCTAAGGTCAGAAAATCCTAAAATAGGGACCTTAGAAGCCTCAAACAGTATAAAGGGGCAGTGATTAGCATAGTGCCAGAGCACTCCAACAAGAACAACCCACACCCAATGGTCTGGAGATCCCTAATGTTCTGCCATGAGTATCCAGAAAGAGCCCTAAAGATTCAGCCCTCTGAATCTCAAAAATCCAAAGGGGCCTAACCCCAAAAGGCAGAGGTCAGCACAGAAACCAAAGTGACCTAGGGTAAGATCAAGTAGGATCGACTACCCCACCCAACAGAACAGGAAACAGAGCCTAGAACTTTCATAAAGCCTAATCTCTAATTCCAAGAAATGGAATACCAGAAAACTAGAATAGACCAAACAAAAATCAATGATTTCAAAAGACTGGAAAGAAATGGAATTATCTATACCTTACATAAAACTGACTTGGAAAACAGATCAAGGAGACATAATTTAACAATCATTGAAGAGCATGATAAAAAGCTTAGACATTGTATTTCAGTATATCCTAAATTAAAACTGTCCACCTCTTTTGGAACCATGTCCTATACCTTAACAGTGAGTATTGTCCTACAGAAAGAATCCACAGATTACGTACTGAAAGTAACCCTTAAAGGAAAAGTCCTAGGAATGTCATAACCAAAATCCAAAGCTCTCATAACCAAGGAAAAATTCTATAAACATCCAGAAAGATGTCTGAATTACTCGAAAGTAATTCAAGTACCAAGTAACTTCAGATGGGATCACACAAGACCTGGTGGCTTCTCCTAATGATGTGAGGAGACCTTGGAATGCAATATTTCAAAAGTCAAAAGTGATAGACTTTCAACCAAAAATAACTTACCCTGAAAAGCTGAATATAATTTTATAAAGAAAAAATGGACCTTGATGGAAAAGAGGATTTTCAAGCAATTCTGATGAAAACACAGGAGCTAAGTAGGAACTTTCAAATACAAACACAAGAGTCCAGAGAAACTTAGAGAGGTGAATTTGTTTGAGCAACTGGAAAAAAACCTAGTGTGATATAGTACTAACATTTTAATGGGGGAGAAGAAACAAGTGTCCCTTCTGAACTTTAATGTCTTTAAGAGGCACTGAGGGAGTTAAATAAGAAAAACAAAGGTCTTGGGAATGGATTAGATCTGTTCTGAGGGTTTTAAGAGGGGAAAGAAAAGGGAGGGAGAAAGAAGAAATACACTCAAGTAGAAAAGAGAAAGAAGGGGGTGGAACTTATTATTTCTCCTAATTGAGGTATGTAAGAAAAAGATTATACAAACATGGAGGGAGGAATGGAGGGGTCAGGCATCAAATTAATCTCATAAATATAATGCGATATAGAGTGTGAGTAAAAAGTAACAATAAAGTCCTTGGAGAATTCTGGCTGGGGAAATCAGGGAGAAGAGTCACAGGAGAGGCCTTATTTAAGTTGGTCCTGAAGGTTGGCTAGGTTTTACTAATTTCTCTAGGCCTCCATTTCTTCATGTGTAAAATGTGGAGGCTGGGTATTATATGAGTTTGTAATTCAACATTATCTATCTTAGATGATTTGTGTCATTATTCAATCTAT